TTTGTCCTCACTTCAGTACTAACTCAGGCATTGCTCTTCATCTAACTGCAAATGCATAAATCTTGACCTCAGGTGCATGTTAGTAATTTACACCCAAACTAGTGGACCCATCCCATGGTCTAAGAGCTAAGCCTAAGTGCTGTTTGCTCTCACTGTTGGTAACCGTGTGGATGCAGGCTAAATTGTCTGAAGGCTTAGTCCCTTAGTGCCTGCATTCTGCAATTACTTGGTAAGACCAGGAAAGGGAAAGCCTGCTGTGCTGGGAACCAAAGTGAGGCCCTCAGAAGTCCCAGGTGAACATGGAGTACTGCACCTTGCTGTAAGCCAGTATGGCTTTGTAATGGGACAGCTTACTCCAAGGCAAACCAAAGCCACTACTCTTGGCTTCTCTGCAGGGAAGGCATAGCCCCTGTGGGATATAAAGCGGAATGCTTTATTAGATCTTAAGGTAAATATTTAGGCATCCAATGGCCAGCAGCAAGCAATGATAAAATACTTTTCAACTGCATTTGCAAAATTTGTGTTTATTTCTTGTTATCTGTAAGAGGATCTCTAATCTTTGTGTCTCACTCCTAGCAATGTCATACCATGAATAAATCATGAGTGCTGGCCTAGCTGTCTAGATTTCTCTTGACTAGGAAAGTGGTTGAAAATCAATTGAACTCATACTCTTAGATCAACTGGATTCCTATGAAAACACCAAACATAATCTTTCAATTTGCTTGTATTAAGAGGGCTCTGCTCAGTCTGACATAGATCTGGAGTGGAAAGTCACTAGAAATTTCAGTTTTATGTTAGTATAAATGAGCAGAATTTGAGCCACTGCTAAAACTGGTCTTCTGTCCAGTGTCAACCACAGAATAAAGGAAATGATATTGAAAAAATAAAACACGTGGAGTCCATGTTAAGGTTTAATCTCCTAGCACCTAAGATACAGTTTATTTTTCCTACCACTTTTTTAAGTCCTAGCTTGCATCAATGCAGATTTAAATACAACATGACCTTCAATCAGTTGATTTTGGAGTTCCTGCAGCTTTTGGTATGATTTTTAAATGGATACCCGAGCTGCTTGTGATGGTTAACGTGTGGCTGACGTAACCTCCTTTGCGCTGGACATGAAGGTGATGTTATGAATTCAGAGATGGAGTATCGCCATCTGAGGCTTGGTAGTGGAACAAGGGACGTTTGGCAGAGTGCAGTATGAGAGTTTCCACGTGCCTTACTGAGGGCTGTACAAACAGGGGAGAGACAGCAGATCCCAGGGTACACTTGAATGACTGCAAGTTAAGCCATTAGACGACTGAGGGTAGGATTTATGCTAGGAATGGATTGCAAAATTTATTTTTCCAAACTAGGATGCAAAGTATCAGATAGACAGCAAAGTGTCAAAGAACCTTTTCAGTGGGCTAACGGGGGTCTTCTCTTTGCATTTGCCTAGAAGAATGCAGAGAGAGGAAATCTGAAATGCATCTCCCCCAGTCCACAGGTTAGAGATAAAAACACAATTTTTTTTTTCCCTCTAAAATGCTTTTGTTCTACGTAAACATTTAGTTTTTAGGCAGCTTGGTGATTGCAGATTGTCACTCTCACTGCTTCACAGCAAACAGAGTTCTGTTCCTTGAGCTAGTCAGACCTACTGTGATGAATCCCAGAGGACATGCAGGAAAGCCTAGGGAGGCCTGGCCTGAGAGTGGAAGATTCAGCTTGGAAAGATGGATAATGGCTAAATGTATGGTCTAGGTGAACTCAGAGAATAAGCAGGCAGTAGCAGTAGGTAAGAGGAGGCAGCAGTAACAACTTGTATTTTTCAATTTCTGATCTCTTTCCACTGTTGTTTCCAATGGAAAGACCAGGGAAAGTGTAGATCTTGTTATTTTAACTCCACGCCGATCTTCTCTGATCTAAGAAACATGCTGGTCTAAACTAGCACTGATGCAGTACCTGATGTTTAACTCCCTGTGCAGCAAAGAACTAGTCTGCCATTGTCTTCAGTGGAATTTTACCTTGAGTATAAATAGGGATTGATTTAAGTATTTGCTTAAGTAAGTGATCACCTTAGGTGAGTCATACCTGGAAGCACCTTTGAAATACCAGCATTTCAGAGCAGCATATAGAATTAGCAGGGAACAATTCCACAGCATTTCAGTAAAAATAAAAGTGTTGATCCCAGAGCTTTGGTTTTGCAGTGTCTCCTAGGCAGGCTGTCGTGTACGTGTGGGTGGGTGGGTGGGTGTA